CAGAGCTGATAACAACAGGGATAAATTAAGATTTGTCTTACTCCTTACTATCTTATCAAATTAAAGTCAAGAGCTTTACTATTCTATGAACATAAAAATATCTGTTAAAAGTGCACCCCTGTTTCTGTTATTACTTACAATAAGGGCAAAGAAGGTATTTTTTTTCTAACACCGATCATAAAAACAAGCATTCCCAACCCTTCATAGTAACTTTAAGGCCCTGTATATAAATCCTACATAAATCTTCACCAAATCTACTTTTATACAGTAGATGAAAAACCAGATAGCAAACTCAACATCGATAAGCTGAGTTTCTATAGTATCAAAAGATACTTTCTTCTACAATTTAGAGTTTTCCTTTAGGTACGCTGATAAAACTTTTAATAATTCTCTTACGACAATAAGTTTTACTATTTTAAAGAAAATGACTGCTATTTGCGATTTGCTCTTCATAAAATTAAAATGCCTTCTCCAACAATTTCAGCTTCCTTCTCAGCAAAATTAAACACTCACTTCTGTTCTGAGCTATCTCGTACTTGTGAAATGCTGCAAAATCTTAAGATGTAGCCTCCTCTTCTGAACATTCTATATTCCTCCAGCACCACGCTTGCTTAGAAGAAAATGTATCAGCAGTCACAGAAAGCTCCAGCGCATGCTACATATGCACTGACTACTAAAAAGCAGCAGAGGGAGCAAATACCAAAACGCGAAGAAAAAGCATCCCAGAAAAGCACTTTAATTTACAGGCAACAGAACATGATGGAGGTGTTTGTTAAAAACCAAACCAACAACAAAATTCCATAGAGAAGTCACATCCACACTTGCAGAGCAGGTCTATGTATGTCTGGAATGAACTAAAGAAAAACCTTCAAGTCTCTTAGAAGAGCGCTTGAATCCTAACTTCTAGACAGACTTTCAGCTTGGAGAACGGAAGGCTCCAACAACGCCAGGTGTCAGAACTGCCCCATATTCAGAAAGGAGAAACAGAGCATTTTTAGAATGGTATACTTTGGGGGTAAATTCAATGATTTTGTTTCTCTTTCAAACAGCATTGCACTTACACTGACGGTCTGGTAAAATGTGCATTGTTAGGGTCATAAGAGGATAAAGTTACAGGGTTCCACGCTATGACCCTTGGGAGTCCTGAGGCTTAGACTCCTGGCCTTCCCTCCTCACAACCTCAATTTGCTTTCTACGTGAGAAAGGTAACCAAGAGCACGTGAGACCATGCTGCATTAAAAACAGTCTACAAAATCATTTTAGCTTTGTGAAATCTGTACAAAAGGATGGACATGTACCTACCAATCCTATGTTATGTTAAATATTTTCTAAAAATTAGTTAAGTGCTGTGTTTTCAGTTTTAGACTAAAACAGAAAAAGTACTTAGCTCTTCTGTTTGGAATACTGTAACTGAAATTTAAGAAAAGATTGAGCTTCTTATTAGAACTTCAAAATGTTTATGTCTATATTATAGTAAAAAACGATAAATAGTATTTAAATATTTTTTATAATATGGAAATGTGCACCAAAGACAGTTCTTAACAACTGTATTATAAAAATCCATGAAACTTAAAATGTCAAGCATAACTTACAACTGAATGGTTAAAAAAAAAAGGATTTTAGCCAAGTAGGTAACCGATCAAGTTTAACCTAAGTCTCCAATAATAATACCAATAACAAAAGGTATAGTGTGTGTTATTTATTAGCTAGCTGTTTTACACATGTTCTTTCGAACTCTTACATTGACCTTTCAAAATAGATATCCAAATGCTCATCTTATGCTAAGGAAACTGAAGCTAAAAAAGTTTGTCATCTCTCTAACGTAACTTGGCTAGTAAGGAACAAAACCACGATTCAATTTTCAGGTCTGCCTGCCTGCCTCCAAAGCTTTGAGATCTTACCAAAACCTCTCTTAACCCTACCAATGAGGTTCCAAAGGAAATCTGCACAAATCTCTGGAAGATGAATGTGCTTATGAGGGTAAATGCTACAGATTTAACCACTCAAATTAAATGCCATCTGGAGTCTCTTAGTCTACTTGGTACAAGCATCCTGTGTGCATCACAGCCAGTGCTGGCATTGGCCAAGAATCCAATAATTTTCCTGTTTCAATACCATCAATCACCATTTGCTCATTACAATACCAATCAGGAAACACAGCTAGTTGCTTCCAAAGCATTGTTTAAAAACTGCTAATAACTTTGTTTACTTTTATTAAGATTTTTAAAACATGAATCCATTAACCCAATTTGTTAAATGCGTTGGAGGCATCAATTTCCTTCTTCCTAACACCCAAACCCATCTCCATAATAAATATTTTCTCTACATAATCACTTAGAAATCCTGATCTCTTACTACTATTTTATTCTGTTATTTTAATCTATTGGAGTAATTTTTTAAAGCCTCAAGAGAAGAAAACAAAGACAAATGTCACGATTTTTCAAAGGCTAACACTGGTTGGTTCAAACAAGTATATGTAAAAAAAAAAAGGATGGTAATAAAACTAATAACCAAAAGCAATGTTACAGACTTACTCATTCACACTCAAGAGATATTGGACAACCGAGTGGACGTGTGACGCACGCTGTCACATTTCCAGTTAAGACTTAGGTCCGGCATCACTCCTGGGGACCTTTAGATCAGCTGCTCCAACTCAGTTTACAGCTCGTGTGGATGTGACTTATTTGTGCCCTTGTTATCAGGCTGAAGGGTAACTTTACAGCCTTTACCAGGAGCTCTTTTTCCTTGTATGCTAATCCTTTTTCATCTATAAAAAGTCACAGGGGCTTAGCACTCATTCAGAAATGAATGGGTTAAAACAAAAAGAAATGAATAGCTCAGACCTGAAAAGTTTAATCAACGGCTTCAGCTGAATTGAATTTTTTTAAATGTTAAAAATAAGTGTCATGTCAATAATCTTTCAACCACAAGGCATAAACACAGCTAGAATGACTACATTGTGAAGTCTTTTCTCACTTAACCTCAGTTTCACTTCAACCAAATAAACCCACCCCCAACACTAAACCTGAAAATTAACTCAAGGTCTAATCTGGGGGTCTTCACAATGGAGATTAAAAAAAAAAAATCCCTGTCTTATTTGGTGTCTGTAAAGGAAAGACATCATTCTGAACTAAAGTTTTATTTTGTCCATCTTAAAGTGTAAGTAATTACTTGACAGCTGAAGCCATTCACAAGACATGATTAGATTTCATGTTAATTTCTCATCATTAAGACTACGGATTTGGGGGGAAAGTAATCGCAGCAGCTCAGGTTCACTGCTGGAAAAATACTGCCAAATCATCTTAGAAACACAAGCAAATGCTTGCACATCTTTAGGTGCCTTCAGGTTCTTCCTTTTATGACACAGAATTAACCAGACAAGAGAGTAAGAACTCAGGCCCATTGCAGTCCGGTCCCAGTCTGTGTGGAGAACACTGGAGATACTTTACATATGTCTACTGCTCTTATGAACCAAATTATGAAAGAATAATCTGTAAGTTATAAAACGAATCAAGGATCTAAGAATTTGTTAGCCATATGAGAACAATGGCACCTAATGCTAGGCCCAGGAGAAAGAGAGCAATAACCAGTCATTCTGATGAGGAGCCACACCAAATTTAGGAATGAAGTTCAAATGACAAAAAAAAAAAAAATTACAGATTTGATCATCAGTGTGCACCCGGGTAAGTCAGTGTGTTTATGGGGAGGTCAGTGCCTGCACTAACTGGTGACTGGGGAGTTCTTTTGATTTTGTTTATTTGAAGATAACTTTTCACTTAAAAACCATGCTGTCTATACAAGCGTTGTCAACAGATAAGACAATCCAGTGGTCAAGATACTACATTATTTTAAACTGCATGAGAAAAAAGAAAAACAGGTGGGATAAAAACTATAGTAAGCCAATAAATAAATAAATAATAAAAATTTTAAAAAGCATTGCTCTTCGAAAAATATGTGCACATAGATAAAAAGTAAAATTGTATAACCTACCTGACCTAGTCAATAGGTGGCCAAAAATGTTAAAATATCTTTAAGGAGCAACGGTTACAAACTGCCACATAAAGTTACCAGTCCCTGCCGGCTGAATCCCTCAGCCGTCTGCTTCCAAAATGCCTGTGCCTCCTTTCCTAGCCCCCTGAGCCAAACAGTCATTAAAAACATGCAGAATCCCAATGATTTCCTTACATAATTAAAGATTTCTTAACAAAACAAACAAAACAAAACAGGAATTCCAAAAAATACAGCAAAACTGCCAACACTCTACCTTGTCTTAAGGCTGTGTCGGGTTGAAGGTTACTTCTCAGCCCCCAAAACTCCATTATCCACCTAGACCAGCACTTCGGCATATCTGGCACAAATGCCCCATTGAATCATCACTGTAACTTAATAATCTCAGAAAACTGGACTTTCGCTCCAAGATTCACGGAAACAAAGGCAATGATCATGAACCTTAACTCTGACGTCCCCTGTGGACACATACAGCCAAGTGAAAACAGAAAGGCTCAGTTCTTACAGGGTTCCCTGACACCTAGGTAAATGTAGGTTAAGGTCCCAAGTTCAGTGAAGTCTTCTGAGTTTTACTTCTGTAGGTGGTGCCATCCATTGCACTGACCTCTAGCAACTCTTACTTCCAACTGGGAATCCCAAGAATACCCGTAAACATAGATTGCCAGTAGACAGGACAAGGTTTCTGCTGCAAGGGCAAAGTGTCACTTAGACGTACCCTCTCCAAAAAAAAAAAGAAACAGAAAACAAAAAACACTGTATTCTGGGGGTAGTGCAGTCAAAAGTATGTCAAAGTTGCTTTTGCAAAATGTTGAATTTCTCTGGAGTGAATGCGAGAGAGCGGCAAGGCACAGCATCAGTTCCTCCAAGGCAGCCAAAATGCAGTGAGTGAGACAAACTTCTGTATGGATTTCCCGGGGCCACGGGGGCCAGTGGCTTCACCAGCGTGGGAATCAGCAGCCTAGGGGCCTGGGTGAGTGCGCAGCCGGGCTTACCTTGTTGGAGGCCATCTCACTGACGGAGTGCCTGGTCTGCAGGGTCTCTAGCTGGTCCAGACACCAGTCCAGCTCCTCCAGGGTCTCGCTGGCCAGTTTCTGGTAGGCCTCCTCTGCGAAGAGATAGGGAAAGGGGGACTCAGTTCTCAAGCGCTTCACGGGGCCACCAGCGAGTTCAAAGGGGGCCATCCTGCCGTACCCCGCCATGCTCGGATGCCCGGTGCCCGCACATGAGGGCAGCTCCTTCATATTGCCGAGCCGGGCACCGCGAGGGGGGCCGGGGCTCTGCTAGCGGGGCAGCCGGCCTCGGGCAAGCACGCTCTCTCCAGCTTGGCGTCTTGGCTCGGCGTCCAGGGAGGGCGCGCCAAGTGCGGCAAGCCAACTTTTGCACGGACCAAACACCCTCACGATGCGACTTTGAGAAGTCTCGGTGCTAGAGGATGGCGAAGGGGGTG